GCTGATTCAAAGAAAAAATAAGATAAAAGGAATCAGGGATGAATTAGCATAGAGAAGAGATGTCTATGGAATTTCTAAGTTACTGCCTTCATATTTTTAATAGTAAAGTTATTGGCTAGCTGGGCAAGAAACAAAAGAGAATATGTGAACTTAAGTTAAAATCAGAAAGATTTCACTTTGACCAAAGAATGTGTTTTCTTAATAAGGGTCTCTCACCATTCAGTCACCACTCTGGCTCGGGTCCTGTCCAAGGTGCTGAAGTTTTTCAATGAGGGCTAGTCAGGGACTCAGATTCTAAGGGGGCCATGTGGGGACAGTTACTTGGATTGCTGAAAAAAGAAACTGGACTTTAGGAATTAGGATCCAAAACTTTAACCAAATATCAGTTACCAAAATCATCATTGAGTTCATCAAGTAATACTTCCTGAAAATCAAATATAACCTGGCCTTTGACCATTTCCCCCAGTATCTTATATTCTACAGAGTGCTTTAGGAAACAAATATGTCTGAAGGAGAAACTTTCATAAAAAGTTTGACATCCCCTTTAGATTTCTTTCAGTGTGAGAAATTGTACTCCCAACCTCACTGTTCTGACCGTCACAAAAATCCCTCCGCAATCATATGTGCTGGTCACCCTTGCCTTTTTCTGCAGGTGCAGGTGCAAGTGCTGCTGAGCACAGAAGAAATGGGAAGAGGAGAAAGGAGAAGGTATGGTTTCTTGGTAACTTGGGGGAGGGTAGAGCCAGTTCTACAGGCTTGGCTGTGTGAGAGCAATGATTTTTAAAAACTATTTGCAAGTCTAATTTAAGAAAATAATTTCACACCAACAGAGTCAGGGTTCTCAGGAGGATATTTTCCCTTCCTCCAACTCTCTGATCTTGCCCATTTTGAGGCTTTTTAAATGAGGGCTTTTGGGTCACAAATCTCTGCCTCCAAAGATTGTCAAGGAGTAAAACCTGAGTAACCCACCCATTTAATTGCATTACGCAACTTCCCTCATGAACACCCCAAACCAGTGCACCTATATACATTTCTTGAGTTGGTATTCAAAGAGGAAATATAAGTAATTTCCACCCATCATAATTACAACAGCTAGTAATTATTTAACACTAGAGGCCCAGTGCACAAAAATTTGTGCACTTGGGGGGGGGGGTCCCTCAGCCCACCCTGTGCCCTCTCGCAGTCTGGGACCCCTCAGGGGATGACCACCTGCTGGCTTAGGCCCGCTCACTGGGGGACCGGGCCTAAGCTGGCAGTCAGACATCCCTCTGGCAGCCC